GCATTTACAATGTGATAAAATGAACACATGTCAACATTCTAACTCCTTATATTTTTTCTTATATGTATAAGGGAGATGTATAAGGGCATCTCCAATGGTAATAGCTATTACTAGCTATATAGTCAGCTGACGTGGATGTGAGAGATAAGAAAAATGACTATTTTACACTATTGGACCCACATACTCCTCTCACATGATCTTGGGCTACGTGAAATAGATAAGCTATTTGTTAGTAGCTAGTGACTACTCTCTCTCTTACTTTTCCCTTGTCCACGTCATAATAGCTAGCCAAATAGCTAACCATTGGAGACACCCTAAGGGAGATATGTATATTATAATTATACAAATTATTAGCAATAAAAATTAAAAGTATTGGACAACATAGCACAACATTTGTGGTTTAGAGATATTTGCCAAACTGCTCACAAACTAAATGTGCAACTTCATAATAGATGAACTGATGAAAGCTTTTCTTTGTACAACTGCCAAACTTGAGTAGATGCAAAAGCAACAAACAAAGGGATGAACAAAATAAACAAAAAAGCACCAGGAAAGCTTAACTACACAGCTGCCCATCATCTTCAAAAGCAGCTTAACATCTTCACTGAGTGCTGAACAAAACCTTTTGACGACGAAAAAACAAAATCTACGCAGAATTATCGTGAAAACTAATTTCAACCCGGCAAGTTAAGATCTTCACACCCCGACTTTTTTCGAGTGCTTTATACCTTTTTTCTTGCAAACCGAAATAATCTGTTTTTTTTATACACTTTCTTCACATTGGCACATAACCGAACGAGCTTTTCCATTTTCTTGCAGCTACATTGCGCTTAACTAATATCCGCCACTTAACCACCGCAAGGATTTTGCACCAATTTTCAGTGCTCGACGAGATTATCCCAACTTCATGAATTCCGGGATCAAGAAACGAGCCGATCCCTTGCCAGGCTGGTGACTCCACTTGAAAAGCAGTCGAGAGCTGTGGGCCTGTGTAATTCCCTCCAGAAGCCCACATGCTTTCTCCCCCGGCGTAGAAATCGATAGGGGAATAACCCATCTCGTAACCATTCTTAAATGTTGGGTTTAAACCCTGACTTGAATTTGAACTCTCCCCAAACTCGAATGAACAGTTCTCTTGTTCGGGCTCGGCTTCGTATATCGGTGACATTGTTGGATGATAAGAATTAATCTCTGTTTTCAAGTTAACCAAAAACAAAAAATGTTATTTTGGATACTTTCAGAGATAAGCTAAGACGATGTTTGGTAACCAAATAAGCTAGCTTATAGCTTATTTGGTTAGTTTATAACCTTTCTGTATTCAAATAAGTTTTGTTTGGTAAGACGAGCTTTCTAAAAAAAGCTCGAACTTATCTCATAAGCTTTTTAGGTAGTTTTTCAAATTCTCGTTGAATTTTTATTTCAGTTAGATTATCAATTAATTTTACTAAACGCTTTCATCATATAAGCTAATTTTTCAGTCATAAGTCATTGTTATAAGCTCGAAAATTACTTATAATCTATAAACTAACTTATTAGCTATCATTTAGATTATAAGCTAGTTTTACCAAACATAGCATAATCCGACTTGCAATCTTGAGTGGCTTATTTTGAATATTTTTTCTTTGCATGCAAGATTTTTTCTTACCTTGCTCTTGGAAATTGGCACCATTGAGACCCGGATTAGGATATACACTAGTGTCGGTTACAGGGCTTTCGAAAAGCATCGGGCACCCAACAATTGATGATGGGTCTCGAAATTCCACCCATTCGGACAAGTTTTTATAGGCCTGCTGTTTCATATGTTCCATCATATCCTGTAAAGGGATGTGAATGAAATAGTTTATTTCGTTTTCCATCCAATAAAGTAGAAAAGTATGTAAGAAAAACGGGTGTGAAGATACTAACCATCTGATAGTTGTTGAGGTTGTCCAAAGAAAGGTAATCTCGACCGTCAAAAGTGACCCCAATCACCTTGTTTGTAGAAGTAAATAACAGCCCGGCCCCTTGTGCAGTCGTGTAAATGTACTTCTTATTGTCCAAAGTACACTTTTGAGCATGCTCGACAATTGTTTCCCATGCCTTATTAGTAACTTTGCGTAGTATCTACAGATCAAAATTACGGTTAGTTTAAAAAAAAGGAACGATATAGAACTTCAAGAAATAAATCACGAAATAGTCTCTCACATTGCGCAATCCAGGCCGATCCATGAAATAGAACTTCAAGAAATCTCCAACACAGTGTATTCCGAACTGAGTTAACCTCTTATGAGATGGGCCATCTTTGGCTATCTTCTCCAAACGCCAAACCTCGTCATCCAAGCACGGTGGATGATGCTTCTGGTAAGCTGGAAATCAAAACCGAAAACATACAAATGAATCAAATAATGTAAAATTATTTTTTTCCAGCCTGTACTATACGTGCTTTTGGGTTTTGCAACAATTTTCGTGGTAAAGCGCAACCTGAACTTCACTAACAGTCATAATTGTTTTTCGATCGCATACATTATGACCATTCATACACGTGCCCACTTTCACTTGATGATCATATGTATGGTCAAGAAGTAGGAGAGTGTGTAGATTATGAATGTTCATGAAATTCAGATTGCATTTTACAATGAAGAAATATACTATAGATTGCAAATCCCAAAAGCAAGTATAGTACAGGTTGAACTAGAGTTTTACTCTCAATAACTTCGACATTTGTAATGAAAAACCACTTACACTCCCCTCGGTGATCCTTGACTTTAAACGCAGTACTGAAGGCTTCTTTGATCCCAGGAAATTCAGTTGAGCTGGCAAGCGGTTTAACCCCGAGACGAAATTTACCGCTCCGAATCCAGCTCGAATTATCGGTGAAGCTCACGTCACCAATATATCCGACCCCATTATGCAACGATACCGCCAGCTCGCCAGTCAGCAGCGGCCTTCTCCCTTCTCTGTTCTTCACCAATTTCCGGTCAAATTCCTCAGCCGTCCAATCTTCACGATCAACGGTCCCGAAATCGCCATCGAGGACAACCAAAATTGCCTTGAGAGACGAGTGGGGACCACACGATATTACCTCTTTTGTGGTTGAGTCACAAAGGGCAATTTTGATTCGAGTCTTGTCCTTGGACTGAACTCGGCTGTTTGTGAAGAGGGTTTGCGGGAAATTGTTACAAAACTGCAGCTCGAGGTTTCTCGGTAGAGTGACTCGATTCTCCGAGATTCTGCAAGATTTTTTTCTGTTAAAAGTTACTTCGGACGAATTCTATCTATAGAGGTAACTTATTTGGAGAGGAAAAACAGCAAAGAAGTCACACAGACACACTGTTGGTTCAAGATCAACAAAGAACCAAATAACTAATAAGTACCTCAAATAAGGGCCGATCGCATGGTTTACTGCCTCTCGAACCTATCGATACAAGGAAAAAATAGAATAGTTAATATGTGAAGGTAAAAGATGAAGTAGTAATTCTATGGTGAAAGAAGTCAAAAATCGAGTATCAAATGTGCAGCATATCAGGCAATTAGGTGGGTCAGGGGAAACAGATCATAACAAGCATCCAGCCAAAATGTTACTTATGAAAATATTATCATGTAAAGAGGGTTGAAAGAACAGTAAATACAATTATGATATAACATGGGAGATATATTGTGATAGCAATTATGATATAACATGGGAGATATATTGTGATAGACATTCTTGTATGTTGAAATATTATTGTTCACACACAAACACAAACACTAGAATAAAATTAAAAAAAAAAAGGAAGAAGAAGAAGAAAGTCGTACTATTCTTCTGATCATGAGTTCCAAGCAGGATGCAGATTCTGGCGAAATCCGGCCATGATCAACCCCTCTAAGTAAACTGCACAGGCAACAATCGGGCAAACGAAAAATCAGAAAAACAACACAGAAATACTACAAAAGAACAACAAATGGAACGGGACTAGACCTTTACACAAGCCAAGCGGAGCTCGAGCTTAGGGTGCTCGAGCTCTGGCTCGACTTGTTTATCACTATTAACGAGCCGAGCTCGAGCCTTAACAAGCCGAACTACAGAAAATTATATAAAAAAAATCTTTTTTTTGGAGCCTTATTGAGCCGAGTCGAGCTTGGCTCGTTAACTAAACTAGCTTTATATTAGCCAGAGCTCGGCTCGTGAAGGGTTCGAGCTCGAATCGTGTCAGACTCGTTTAATTTAACAACACTAAACGTGACCCACCTTGAACCGTTGTGGCGTCGTTTAAACGGCAGCCGAGAGCCTCCTTCAGCCCCCTCTCCAAGATGTCGTTTCGTTACCATTAAGAAAGCCAAAATGCTGACAACCTTAAACTATAATGAACGAGATGATTATAACAAGCAGGTTTAGGTAAGCCCAAAAATTCGTTGGCCACCAATGTTTAAATAAAAACTTCAAAAAAAACCCAAGTGGTCGGCTAAAAGAGGAAACTACCTATGAAGCTTCATTCAGGCAATTAAACAAACACATTGTGTGCTCGTATGAAGTCGATCACACATTTTCATCACTCATCTACAGAGAGCAAGAAGAACACTCCAACTACTTATTTTAAGGATTGAACCCACAAAATTTCTGTGTCCTTGTGTTGTATTAACATGGTTTAAAAGAAATGGAAATGAAAAAAAAAATAAAAAAATATTAAAGTGATATTGGTCAAAGTGCATTACCAAACACTATCAAAGTGTATATATATAGAGAGATTGATAGGAAGGTACTCATGAGTCATGGCCCCATTTTGTAACGAGTTAGACCATAAACAAAACAATTCAACACAA